AGCGGAGAAAGCCCGGGAGCCGGTGCAGCGTGTCGCTGTGGCAGGGCGGCAGCATGAAGAGCAGCAGCTGGAGGGCAGCCAGCTGTGCCGGACCCTCCATGGCTAGGCAGAGAGCAGCCCGTTAATTACTGTGGTTCCCAGCCCGTTAATTAGTGCAGTTCCCAGCTGGACAGCCCTCGTTTACATCCACAGTAACGAGCTCTGGAGGGAGCCAGGCTGGTGGCTCACCCTTCATCCTGTCCATGCAGGGATAAGCACCCGGCTGCGACGTGACTGCATTTGGTACTGTACAGCCCCATAGTCAAAGACTGTCCTAAACCAGAGGGATTATTATAATCCAGTTACTTAAAAAAAAAAAAAAAGGCCCAGACTGCAGCAACTGCAGGTGGCAGTGCCAGGCAGCACATCGCCAACCCCACTGCTGTCAAGTGGTTTCGGCAGAGGGGTGGTAAGGAAGGACCTGGGAGCCAAACGTTTGAAGAGTCGTACGTGGTGTGATGAGAATTCATGGATTCACCCTACAGCCCACGTGCAGTCCAGGGGCATTCGGCCTTTTATTAACAGTCTCAGCAAGGGGAAAGAAAGTCACCTCCCCGCAGGGACAGGGATGCTGAGCTGGCAAGGGAGGAGGACAGACAGACAGCAAACACTCAGCCAGCCAAGGTTAGAGGGAGTCCCTAAGAAAAAAAGGAGGTTGTGATGCAAGAGGGTCATTCAAAGCTCTGTGTGATGGAGGAAGGAGCAGCGGGTTGGGGTCTGCACGGTCCCATATCCTGGGATATGGGTGAGGGGGGCTGCTTCAGTCTGCCTGGATTTCCAGAAGGTTTGGGGCAAAGGTTCCCACCCAAAGTTTTGAGGTAAACGAAGCAGCTGTGACATAAGATGATGATCCTCTGGGGGACAAATAATTCACTAAAAAATGGGAAACACAGGGTAGGAGCAACTCGGAGAGTGTTTGCTGTTCGCAGCTTGTGCTGTTCAACATGTCCCTTAACAAGCTTGAAAAAGAAGACAGCAGTGGCAGGGAAAAAAAGCTTTGGAAGCAGCAGTCAGGGCTGGCCTTCTCTCCAGCTTTAGATTGCGGTTCCTTCCCTGCATCTTCCTTATCCACGCTCTTACCCTCAAGCAGTGAGGCCATCCTCTGAGGTCAGCGGTCTCACCCCAAACGCTCTATGCTGAGATTCATCACCCTGCAGGTTTCTGGGGTGGGACACAGGCAAACACCTGGCCCTACGTTCTCCAAAAGCATCTGCATCTCCTCAAAGGAAGAGGAGGCAGGCCCCAGTCTCAGGATACATTGATCCTGATGAAACTCAGGGCTACGTGCTCACAACTCGAGGACACACCTGTAGTCCCGTGCCGTTCTCTGGGGCGATTTCAGCAAGGACAGGTTGGTTTATGCTCCTGCTTTGCAGTGCAGGTGTGCCGTACGCTCAAGTACCTGAGGTTGAGGACAGCAGATTGCCTTGTCTGTTCCCCTAAATCCCTGTACCCCTCTGTTCCCCCCCCACGCCCTGTCCTGCTCCCTGCCATGGCCCAGCCTGACAGCAAGCCCACTGGCGTGCAGCTGCTCGGTTTTGATGCGGAGGCAGGGATTCAAGGATTTGGACTTGGAGAATCAAATCGGAGGAGAGAAGGATGGCAAAAGGGAAGCGAAGAGATGGTGAAGGAGATCGAGAAAGAGTGATGCTGGAAGCTGTGGAGACTGCCTGAAAACTCAGTCACCCGAAACATGGTGGGCAGGAGGACCTGGGCAGAGTATGTGCCAGGACACCCCCATAGGCAGTGCAAACTGCTGGGCTGAGCTCCCGCGGCGCTGAGCTCTGCCAGGACCTGCTACTGCACCAGGTAATTGCACAAGAAGAAAATTCCCTTTTTTTTCCTAACAAACCCGAACGCAGCGGGTGGACTGCCCAGCATGAGCCTCTGCACTGCGGGTACTCACAGGCTGTGCTGAGGAAGGCTGCATAGAGCTCTCTGGGAATCAGCGAATCTGGCATGTCCCGAAGGAACTCTTTGAGCAGAGCAGCCACATCATGAACACTTTGATGCTCATCCAAGAAAACATCCAGTCCTCGGTCAAACTCTTCCCTCAGCTTCAAGATGGAATAAATGAGAAGAATAAAAGCAAGAGTCAGTTCTTCCTCTTGATACGAGTCATGCCATCAGGATCTGTCCCTGTAGAGCTACTGCAATGGCAGGACAGGAGGGTTGGCTACTCCCAATGTTCCCCTGATGCAGAGCACCCCCAAAAAAAGGCATGCTGGAGCCCAACAGCCTGCTGGTGCCCAGAGGATGGACCACGGGACCAGGAGGAGTTCCTGGCTGGTGAAGGGAGCCCAGATGGGGCTCTGAAGTGCCAACCAGAGGATGGAGGCACCTGCTAAAGGCAGCTTGGAGAGATGAAGCCTGCTCTCCATGGCTGGGAGAAGGACCCAGCAGTGGGTTACAGGTTGTCTGTGGTCCAGCAGGTGGTATTTCAGACCCCTCCATGTCAATGTCTGCTTCATTCATTCCCCACCCATACGCACATCCGTCCTTTGCACGCGGTCCTGCTATAGAGGATGCGGTAAACGTCTCACTTTACCTGCTGTTGAGCTCCCAACCCGGAAGATGCCCACCGTTTGGAGACCTGGGAGACAGGCAGGTTAGTGCTCTGCATTCCCACAGCCCCCATCACCCCAACTAGTCCTTGGAGCACCTCAACACCATGGAAGCGGTTCTCCTGCACTGCACGCAAGGCAGCGCATCCTTCCCTGCTCCGGGCAGAGCGGGTAAAAAGAAAGGTTTTGGAGCCATAGGATTTTCCACCGTAAGGGCTGTCGGTGGGTCAGGGAGGAGATCTCATCTGTACAGTCACTCTGAGCTAGACGCTGGATTTGCAGGGGGAGTTAAGGCCAGACCAGGAGATGGGTCACTGATACACACGGTGATATTCACTTCTCAGCCCAAGTGCTACACCCAGCCCAAAGGACTCTCCCCGGGGGGCTTTTCGGGAGCGTGCTCTGCTCCAGGAATCAGCTGCCTCCCCCCATCTCGAGGCATGCCCCGTCTCGGGGCATGGCCAGGCCAGAATGCCCCAGCCCACCACGTACGATGGGTTTTACCAACCAGCTGTGGGACACGCCGTCTGGCTGGGGAGACATACGTACTTACCGTGCGCTTCAATGTGTTCACAACATCTGTCCACGATCCGTGGGACCTGCCAGGTGATGGGGTTGAGGCTCAACATCTTTTTCTTGCCCAGGCTTCTCCGTGGATCCAGCTCATGGGGGTGTGACAACTGCAGTGCCTCCAGCAGCTTGGAAGTGTTGTCACTCAGGTCGGTGATGGAGTCCACGGACATCGCCCCCTGAGATGGAGCAGAGGTGACTGGCAGGGTGACAAGGACCACCCCATAAGACCCCACTACACCATCATCGCTGTGACCTCAGAAGTCTGTGGGAAAGGGAGGCATCACCTCCGAAGGAACACAGAGGTCTACAGAGCCTGTCTGGGGTTGCCAGAGAACCACAGCGAGACCTTTCACCTCCCACACGTTACTTTAGGTGCACTGCTCCTAGCATGAGACGTTTCTAAGCACAGCCTTCCCACCGGGGCAGACCCTACACCGCACACAGACACGGGAAAGAGGAAACGTCCCCAGATCTTTCACCGTTGACTGCGCAATACACTGGGTTTAGTTACCTGTACTGGGGCTGCTTTACGCCAGGGGTTACAGGCACTTAGCAAGAGGCAGGCATAGGTCTCTGCTCCCGAGAGATGAGGCAAACCAAACGCAGCCTAATACCCACCTCCCCTCGCAGGAAACACGACTAAAGCCAAGAAGGCGGCCAGGGCTGACCAGCCACACCATCTTCCTCACCCTTCGATGCAAGGGTGGTCAATACTGAAAGCAGACTGGCTCAGCGGCACAGCTGATGTCCCCGAGGGGTCTCTCCCCGCTGCGCGGCCAGGGAGCCAACGTGACCCACCATCGATGGCCACAACTTTGAGTGGGAATTTCACAAGCGCAAGGCCCAGTCTCTGATCGCAACATCGCCAAAAAGGCGACGCTGTTTCAGGGAGAAGTCGTATCTGTTCACGGTGCTGCTCACCAAGACGTGATGCAACAGAGGAGTAGGAAAATCCACGCCACTGATGATGAACCTTCTCCCATTCCCATCTACCTTTGGCTGCCTGGCCGAGGTAACCTTGGCTCCATAAGAGCTGAGCTAGCAAAGAGCATCCCACCCCTCACAGCCCATCTCTTGGGGGAAGCAGGGGCATCCCATTTCCCTGAGGGTGGACTGGGACCAACCCAGCACGCAGCACGAATAACTCACATTCCTTAAGAAAAGACCCTGGGAAACTATATTTACTGCTGAAGTCAGAGCTTCCCCCAACCTGCAACCCCCTCCCCACGCAGCCCATTTTCGCAGTCGTACCCTTCGCTGGCTCCAGGAGCTGTTGTTGAGAAAAGTTGGGGAAAGCGGCTCCTCCGGGAAGACCCCATAGGGTACCAGGTCACAGCTCCTGCCCATCGGGGACCTCTTCTGCCTCTGAGCCCGAAATCTCGTCACCGTAGCTTCCACCTCCAGGCAGAGCCGGCGGCTCTTCTTCACTGCTTCCTGCAGCTGCTTGTAGGCACGGTCATTGGCGATGACTTGAAAAGTCTGGGGAGAGCAGTCTAGGGAAAAGCATGGGAGAAATGGAAAAGTATCGCTAGCAGGAAAAAAGGAGAGGGAGCTGCAGTAACACAGCCCAACTGCCAGGAGCACGCGTGCATGCCTGGATAAAATAATTAACCGACAGAAGGGAATACCAGGATACTGTAAAGGCAACCACCAGCAGGAGAGTGAAGAGGACAACGTATAAAACCGATTCAATATGAGACAAGAAGATCTGTAGTTTGAATCCAGGATGGCAGCCCTGTAGCTATCTGTGCCCTTGCATGCCCTGTCCCCCCCTGCTCCCTGCTCCTCCTCCAGCTCTACAGGAGCCCGGAGTGCCTGGGGTGGGAGGGAAGGAAGAGCATCCCCAAGGACCCTGGGCAAACCCAAAGGGGAGCTGCTGGCCCTGGAAGGGCCCAGGGCATTGTCTGGGTGCAGGGCACTCAGGGAGCCGAGCAGGGAGGGCACGGCATGAGGGATGGCATGGCGCAGGAGATGCCATGCTGGAGGAAGAGGAAGGAGACGCAGGGAGGCTGGGAAGATGGCAGGAAAACTGCCCTCCGCCAATAGGCCTGTTGCAGCCTGTCCCAGTTTTTCCTGAACTTTCCTTCCTTCTATTGGTTACAGCCTCATGAAGCGTCATGACGTGGAGACTTCATAAGTCACCAGAAATATTTGATACAAAAGATTCTTACCAAATGATAACCTCAGTTTTCTACAGGGTTTGCGTCAGCTATGTCTGTTCAAGAACAGACGAGGCATTGATGGCACTCTCCCCAAGAACTTTCCCTCTCCATACCTCCTTGCAGACGCAAGGAGAGCTCTCCTTACTTCCAGCCTCCACACCACCCTGGGCCAAGGTGTTTTGCAACTGGAGTACAAGCCACAAATCCATTTAGTAAAATGTCAGACTGCTGCTCAATAATTTCCTTGAGTGCACTTTGCACTCCTGGGAAGAAAACTGGTGAGCGCTCATTCCCAGTTGGCTGTGCTCTACGCTACTGGTTTCCCCAGGTTTGTGGCTGACATCCTTCGAGGGACAATAAAACAGACCTCGAAGCAGCGAGACCAGGGGTGAAATGGGCGGACAGAAATATTCACATGTGTATGTCTTTACAAATGCACGTTCACGTGCACGCGTATTTCGTCCACCCACGCACGCATCCCTTCCAGGCTCTCATGCTTGTGGACGTATTGTTACAGCCCACGCTGGAGAACAGTAAAACAATGTGGGACAAAGCACCCTGCTGAATTCGGGCACCCCCCAGCTCCGCCCCGTCAAAAATCACCAATTCCATTTGAGAGCAGGGACCAAATCCTGGGTACGAGGAAAGCTGCTCACCTTTCTTCTCCTTTGAAAAGCTCTCCAGCTTCTGGCGGATAGATTTGCTGCCTTTAGGTCCAGCTACGAGGAGAAAAGAAAGCCCAGGTTCTGTATCAGGAGGCTGTTTTAGTACGGTCTCCCCTTAAAGACATTTGCCTTTCCGCACCCTCGCAGGCAGAGCATGGGATGCTGCGGGCCTGACCCGGCCACGGCCCCGAGGGGATGCACGAGGCCACGTGGGGTGGCATGGTGGGCATCAGCTGCCTGGGGGAAACAGCCCCAGAGGTGGGCCACTGTCCTCCCAAAGCGGAGGAAAGGACCCCTCCACACTCAGGTACCTGCACCCCACGGCACCAAACCATACCCGTGGGTTAAAGACACCCTCACCGAGGGATTCACCCCACCTGGCTCGGACCACAGCTCTGCAAACCTCTCTCCATCAGGGCTTACAGATGCCTTACTACCCAGACGTGCAATCGAGCAATGCGCAAAACTACAGGTCAGGGCACACGAAGCACCTGGCACGCAGCAAATAAACTGGTGTTACAAAACAGAGTCAAAATGAACCACAGCTGGCCTTTCTGGTGGCCTCCTGGCTTTCCATGCCTCGCCAGAGGAAACGCCTGGTGCCACAACAGCTACCAAACGCCGTCGGTGCACGGGACGTGCTGGGAGGCTGCGGTGAGCGGCCAAGACCACCCACCAGCAAACGGGTCCTCACTGTGAAAGAGAGGTAGAGAAACTTCAGCTGTCCAAAGGCTGCAGCTTAGAGCTGCTCTGGCCACCTTTAAATTCTGTGTTCGTGTTACACATGACTCTGTATTAATGACGATGTCCTACTGATTACTTAGCGACTCAGAAAGCTACCCTAATTCATCATCCTCAGAGGTCTGGTCTCAACACTGGAAAATGGAATACAGCCCCAGAAAAGCTTTTGAATGTTTGTCTATGCTCTGTAAAACAAAGTTAGAGAAAATACATACCCCCAGAAATGCCGTACCAGTCCCAGAGGGGCAAGCCCTGCTCCTAAGTATTCCCCACCTTGCACATCCAGGGACAGTCAGCAGCAACGAACTGAAAACTCATTCACTGCCCACCCTACACCCTTCCAGGACACGTCACCCTATTCTGACTTGTGCTCCTTATTCCTGAGGAATTCGGTTCCTAGAAACAGCTTACAGAATTGTTTGGGTTATTTTGTAAGATTTAGAAGAAAGCTATGAAAGCTGGTATGAGCAACATGTGCATAAAAGAGCAGCCTACATTAATTCTTCTGCAGCACCATTCGTCTTGTTTCATTCCAACGACCAGAGAGCAGGAAGATGAAGAACAACCTGGAGACAAACCCCCCCAGCCAAGGAAACAAAAGGTCGGCAAAACTCCCCTGTTCCAGCACAGAGTTAGGAGGGGCGACACAACGTGCCGAGGCTGAGCATCAGCGTAACTCTCCACTCCTAAAGCTGTGCGGATGCTCCTGAGGGAAACAAACCACGAGGCAACAGATAGTAAAGAAACCATCAGGATCCCTCTGCCCAGAACGCCTGAGCCGGTATCTCTGTGGTGGAGTAACTCGTATGATCCACTGCAAACCCAGAAGATGAGGACAACCTCTTTCCACTGAGCTGCATTACTGCAAGCTTGATGCTGTGCATCCTTCAAAGATATCATCTGTCTTGGTCGTCTCCTGCTCGAACCACAGACTTGTTCCTGCAGACTTGGCCAAAAGGAGATGTTGCGCCCATGACGTTTTTGCTCTGTAGCTTGGGGGGCTCACCCTGAAGGAAGCGGTTTGCTGTAAGGGCTGAGATGCTGCAGAAGTTTGAATGAGGTAAGGGCTCTCGACAGGGGGTATCAAAGATGAAAGGTGCCCCACAGGATTGCTCACAAGGGGATGCACACCCCACAATCCTCATTGTCTAGGTATCTGGAGTCAGGAGGATTAAAAGAGGTGCTGAACACCTTTTCCTTGAGGAAACCAGTAACAACTGTGCAACGGCTGTTTATTAAAGAAGGCAGGAATTTCACATGGGTAGATGCTGGGGAGCAAGTACAGACAGGTGGATGGACCCACAGGGAGACCGTGCAGCCCAAATTCAGGCATTTTGAAACGTTGTGAACTTCCCTTTAAAACACTGCAATAGGAAAGTGATGCTGCAGGTGCAATAGCTTCACAGCTAATCCTCAGCATCTCACACTGACTCCCAGCCAAGTAACTGCAAAAAGAGCAATTAGCAGGTAGAAATCTAAAGGATATAAAGACAGTCAAAAGGAAGGAGGGATTCCCCAACAGCAACTGCTTCCTTCAAAAGCCAGGTGAGCATGACAGTGATGTCCAAAATACACACAAGGATGAGATCAGGACTTTGCAGTCCCCTGCGCTTATCCCGCGCATCAGACAAAATGCAGCACACTTAACAGCAAGGAAGAAAATGCCTTTTTTTTTTTTTTTTGCACTGCAGTGTTCCCTAGAGAAGTTAATGCTGCAGGCTATCACTGAAAATGGTATCACAACAGCTCACAATAATAATAAAAAAAGAACCAGGATGTTTATGGTCAGAGACCCCTAGGGACTTAAAGGCAGTCTGTGGTGGCTGGTGCTGCAGCCCTGGGGCAAGTGGGAGTTCTGGGAACGAGAGGGGAGCTTTCTCCCTTTTGCTCTTCTTGAAGCCATTTCATTGCATGAAATCTTCCAGATATTAATTAAGACAGGAAACGAAACCTGGATGTCACCCCAAGTAAGTACGTGCTGTCCAGGGTGAGGCTGAGGTTGGGCATTAGGAAACGCTCCTTGCCTGGGACAGGTCCCCAGAGACGTGGGGGGCTCCATCCTTGGGAGGACCCAGCCCCAGCTGCCCTGGGCTGGTGCCGGTGACAGCCCTGCTGGGAGCGGGCGGTGGGGCCGGAGACCTCCGAGCTCCCTTTGCACCCCCACTGCTGGTCCAGCGTGACCCGAGGGCTGGTGAGCTGTAGGCATCTCCTGCCCTGCTGGGATGCCAAAACACAGCCCAGGGCAGCAGAGGCATTTCAAGGCGGTCTGTCCACTCTCGAGTAATGAGTACCTTTGCCAAGGAGGCAGCTGGTCCCCAACTCACTGCGCTTGCTTGGTCAGACGTGTAGATGTCGGGGGATGCAGGCAGCTACGGGAACCCAGACAATGCCCGCGTGTCTACATAGGCCAGGACAGTCCCCGTGGAGCTTCTATGTTTGTCTGCCCATTAATTTCAGTAGCATGTCTTCTAGCCTTGCAGAAGCCCCATCCCAGCATCAGGACTTTGTGCCGGACATTAATCCAAAAAGCAAAGCTTGTCCCCACCCAACGGCATTAAGACAGTCCCAGTGGAAGACCTTGCCAAGTCAAACTGCATCTGGTTTGAATTGGGGGGGATCAGAGGCAGACAACAGGCAAGGTCACATTCTCACACTCCTATGGACACACAAACTCTCCTCAAAACGCTGATTAGGCCTTCGAGGCTTAGATGACAACAGGGAACAAAAATTAAAATGGACCAAGATGTGTCACAAATGTCTTTCCATAAACATCCGGACACACAAACTCTCCTCAAAAGGCTGATTAGGCCTTCGAGGCTCAGATGACAGCAGGGAACAAAAATTAAAACGGACCAAAATGTGTCACAAATGTCTTTCCATAAACATCATCCCACGTTACAAAGCACGGGTGTGCGGATGAGCAGCGGTAACGGCCCAGACCTCAGCCCTCCCTCAGCAGGAGCCGTCCTCTCCCGTCCTCTACCTTTAGCCAGGCTGAAGTCGCCTCTCCTGCAGCTGGTAGAGAGCAATCTCCTGCAGACTGGCTCTTTCCAACTCCGAAAGGCTGTGCAGGGGCACAGGCTGCATTTTGGTGCTTTGTCCTGGCAAATAGCTGAGACAAAGGTTCTCTGAAAAACACATACATATAAAAATAAGAGAGTCAGGAGCACATCGCAGACACCTGCTTTGGGAGAGAAGCTGCTGCAAACACCACAGGGTGTCTTTGCAAGAGCAGGAGACACTTGGCCCTCTTTTACCTCTCTGAAGAGCCAGCTGATCTGTAGGAGCCCCAGCCACCCCACCCCGCCTCAACCTTCCAAACAAAGGCCCTGAGGGCATCAGGGAGTACGTGAAGGACCTCAGCCCTGGCTCCAAAGACCCCCCGGGGTCCCTGAGCCACCTCAGTCCTTGGCAGCGAGCTCCCTGGCCCATTCTAGCTGCCAACTGTTTTCACATGAAGCCCAACACCATCAGGCTCACGTACACAAGACGGGGCACATCCTGGCCAGTCAGAGTAGGGACTGCGGTCCTGATTCTGGGACTTGGCCATTCTTCACTATGGGAATATAGTTCCTGGCTGGCGTCAGCCTCGGGGCCACGCTGCATGTGAGGAAAGTCAGGATGGAGGCAAGTCCAACCACCCCCTTACCAAATCTAGGAGGTACAACGTGTTCCAAAGCTCAACAAGAACTCATGCAAGGGAAAGCACAGTACGCAGTGCTTCACCCCGCTTGGTCCGACACCGCACCTAACACGCTTCTCTTCCCACCTGGGAGCTGCTCAGCAAACAACAAACACACAGGGCCAGGGGCTCCATCCCAGCGCGTCCTCACGTGGTGCCCACAGACCGAACCCCCAGCTGCAGGTATCGGTGACTGCATTGGGATCAACTCTGGGTACGTTCAGACATGGACTTTCTTCGCCCTCCTGCCCCCCTAAGAAGTGGCACCCAACGAAAAGCCCCTCCTGGCTGCTGTGGCAGCCTGAGCATTTCCCAGCTCCCTCCAGACACCCGCCTTGCTTCGCCCCTGCCTTCCAATCATCTCCACCAAGTCAGGGGGCCCGAACCTTTTGGCATTATATTAACAGGTCCCGGCAGCCCATCTCCATACAAATCAGCTGAACGTCACTCCCGGCCAAACCCCGTCTGCAGCTCAATGCCAGCAAAACCACAGGCTCTGGGTGGAAAGGGCATGGGACGAGGTACCAGCCTCGGAGCGGTCTTCGGAGGATGCTGTGCAGATGTGCACCCCTCCTCTCCTTCACCCACATCCCCGATGTGCAGGGTGCCGAGGTATAAGGAGTAACCGAGG